TTAGGTTCTTCTGTCCTCTCTGTGTTTCTTGCTTCCCTTCCTCTTCTTTTCTCTCTGTCTGTGCCCATCTTCACTCATCCACCTCTTGCCCTTCCCCTACTGTGATTTCACTGTTGTTCTATCCTCACCATGACTCCCTTTGCTCATTCTTGTACTATGTATGTTTTTCTGACAAACCTTTTCTCTTTCTCTCTTGTACAAGTCAGCTATATTCTGCTGTGATGAGGAAATACCTTGGGTAATAAGCTTGTAAGTGAAAAGGCTTGTTTAGTTTATGGATTTGGAGCTCCCGGTCCATGACTTTTCTTGGTCTCTGCTGAGACAGCACATTATGGCAGGAGAGTGTGGCAGAGTGGATTTCTCACCTCATGACTTGGGAAGTAACAAGGGCAACAGGAAGAGATCATGGTCCCACTATCCCTCTTGAAGGCACGGCCCCAGTGACTTGTGGACTTCCCACAAAGCTGCTGCTGCTTCTAAAGGTCTTATCACCTCCCAGTAATACCACTCTGGGGACCAAGCCTTTAAGACACAGGCACTTGGAAGACACTCATTCAAACTGTAACATCATGACTTCCATCCTCTGTCCCTCAACCACCCTCTTGCTGTTTCTCTCCCTCTTCACATTGTGTGCACACTTGTGATTTTTTTTTATTGTTGTCTTTTCACCTTTCTCTTTCTAAGAATTTCTTGATGAGACTAAATATGATGGGGAAGGGGGGACGGGGCCTGCATGAAATCCTTGGCTGAAGAAAACACGTGTAGAAACATTTTTGATCATAGGCAGCCCCTAAATTTGATTTGTAGCTGATCTTAAATGTAGGAAAAGATTTTCAATTACAAAACTCATAAAGTCTAGAGATGAGAGAACCTGACTGCGTTCTGAGTTTGACTAATGGTCTCAAAGCGCTTTGAAACGTTTGGCATTTGCCAGCCTTTCTTTCTTCCCTAATCTTCAAACCCATGGGTTTTAATGGGAAACATAATCCTCTTTTCTGATTCATTTACACTTAGCTCATCTGAGTATTGTTTTCTAAAAACCATCTGAAGTCCAAGAAGTTTTATGAGATCTTTAAAGACTTGATTTTTGAACAAGGAAGTTGTGTACTGCCAATATAAATGGACCTTGAACCCTAGGGGGCTTGGGTCCAGGGTTTGTGGCATTAAGCTTGGTTGAGACTTGGCAAAGGCTGCTCTCGATGCCTGACAGGAACTCAGCTTTCACTTTCAGGATTAACAGTGAATTCAGTGTTTGAGATGAGCAGCCATCTTGTGTCATAGTACACGGGGAACATAGCATAATTCTCCAAGATTATCTACCTAGTTATGTAACTAACAAGAGACTTGTGTGGAAAACTGACTTGTCTGGTATCTGCCAGCAGCCCCTTGCTTATGCATATATTTGTACATTCATGGTCTTATACTCATACATATGTTCTAGCGTGTGAATTGCTCTCAGGGATGGGGTGAGCATTCACATTAGAGATTACTCATGTAGGAGGTTATAATTTGGTTGAAGATGCATCAGATCTCAAGAGAAAGAACCATTGCATTGTACATTTAATTTTTTTTAAAGATTCATTTATTTGTGGATCTTATTTTTTTTTTAAGATTTATTTATTTATTATGTATACAGAAGATCTCCTTATAGGTGGCTGTGAGCTACCATGTGGTTGCTGAGAATCGAACTTAGGACCTTTGGAAGAACAGCCAGTGCTCTTAACTTCTGAGCCATCTCTCCAGTCCCCCCTCCCCTTTTTTAAAGATTTTATTCTTTATACAGCATTTTGCCTACAGGCCAGAAGAGGGCACCAGATCTCATCATAGATGGTTATGAGCCACCATGTGGTTGCTGGGAATTGAACTCAGGACCTTTGGAAGAACAGCCAGTGCTCTTAACCTCTGAGCCATCTCTCCAGCCCCATACTGTACATTTTCAATGGTAGAAAACACTTGTAACTTTTAATTTTTCTTTTCAGTGTGTGCAAGGTATATGTAAGCTCTGTACGTGTGTGTGTGTGAATACTTGTCTTCGTGGTTGTGAGGAGGCCGCTGGATGTCGTGTGTGAGAAGTTCTGCCTTATTCCCTTGGGACAGGGTTTCTTACTGAACCTGGAGCTAGGCCGATGGCAGCAAATCTCAGCATTTCTCCTGTTTCCGTCCCCCTCCCCTACAGTGCAGGGTCACCAGCTCCTGTGACCATGATCTACTTTTATGTGGGTTCTGGGGTTTTGGACTCTGGTCCTTATAGGAACACATCAGGTGTTCTTACCTTCTGACCTATCTCCCCAGAAAACACTTTCCTGTGGAGCTGTACATTGGAGTAAAAGCCAGTTTTACTGCAAATACAGATTCCAAGCAGGGCCCCAGATTCTCTAGAAATTGGGATTCAGACAGGTAGAGTTGCTTGCTCACGGTAAAGTAGCAAGGCTGGGACCCAGAGGCTGCCTCCCGCTGTGCCTTCCACAGACGGCTGCTTGTCCTGTCCTGGAAGCAGCATTGACATAATGTCATCCATCCTGGTCCTGGGAGACACTCCCCAGGGAGGCCCACCCACCACTGAAGACTAGTAAAGACTTCTTGGTGATGCTGTCCTGGCTCATTTCCCTTGTCAACTCTCTTCCTCCCTTCCCACCCCATGGACTCTCTTACCAAAATGCTCTCAGCCTTGCCTCAGGCTTCCTTCCCCACTCCCAGTCCATTGCAACTAGCTGCTTAGAAAATCCCCGTATGACACCTAAAATCGTCACAGGGCAGGTTTGAATTGCATCCAGGAAACATTTCATGTTACAAATTGTCCACAAGAGGACAAAGAATTATGGGCTATATGGTGATATAGGATCATAGAAATGAAACTGTGCCTTGTGAGATTTCTGTCATTTTTCTCGAAGCCTTACTTAATTCAGTTGTTTATCTTCTTTAATGCTTCATTTGGATCTTGTTACTCCCAGCAGATAGGTTTCTCTTACACAAAGGCTTTGTGCCTTGGGATACTTTGTAGCTCCAGACAGATACAAGGATGCTGTGTATCTGCCTGCCTTTTGCACAGCTGGCACTCGGTAGGCATTTGTTCTCTTGTCTTGTATTTTTCACACAGAACCAGAAGTTGCAGACATGGGACAGTGTCTCTCGACCCTTCTCCTTGCTGTGGTTCACTCTGCCCTGGCTCTCCGGTTGAACTGGAGTTATCCTACACAGAGGGACAAGCTGCCGGGGCTGGGTGGGGCTTTTCACCCAGTTGATGTGTGTTGGGCTTCTGAGAGTAGGGTAAAGCACCTACAGCCTGTAGCAGTTGGTACAGGCTGGAGCCCAGGTCTCTTCCCTGCGTCCAGAGCTATTTCTTTGATGGCAGTGGCTCTCAGACAGTGCTCTTGGGGGAAGCGGGTGTTCAGGCTGCTAACCTTGAGGCCCAATCTTCTCAGATCAAACGCTCACCAGTATTTCTACAATGCACAGAGAAAAGTAGGCGAACTTGAAATGTTGATTCTTTTTCTCCATCATCAGTATTTCTTAAATCATTGTTACTTGCTACCAGTTGTCCTAAGCTGATACATGGAAAGCCAGCAAGAAAAAGACAATCAAAATTATTAATATATGAGAAAACCTAAGCCTGGGGAAAATACCTTTTTTAGTTTAGTTTTTTAAAATTTTATTTTATGTGTACCACTGTTCCGCTGGCATACATGTTTGGGTACCTAGAGGTCAGAAGAAAGCATCAAATCCCTTGGAACTGGAGTTACGGATGGTTCCAAGCCAACAGGTGGATGCTGGGAATCCATCTTTCAGGTCCTCTGAAAGATCGGCCAGTGCATTTAACCGCTGAGCTTTTTTTTTTTTTTTTTTAATACACAGCCATTTTCACGGGCACGTAGTAAGAGCATTCATTCTGTTGCTGACATTGTTTTAATTCAGATGTTAGCAGTAAAGACGTCATTTCCTGGTTTTCTTTAAGCTCTCTTTTGCGCGTGTACACACACAGAGTGAGGAATCCCAAATTCGCCACTCTACAAGGACCACCAGATCTTTTTTGCGCGCACACACACACACACGCACACACACATGCACACACACGCACAGTTTGTAAACACAGACACAGAGTGAGGAATCCTAAATTCCTTGCAAGGAACATCAGCTCTCTTTTGCACACACACAAACACACACATATACAGAGTTGGTCATACATACAGAGTTTGCACACACACACACACACCCCACACACAGTAACCCTAAATGCTCCACTATACAAGGACCACCAGCAGGGCAGCCTCTGCGGTTTTCTTCATCTACACGGGCGCCCCCTGCTGCCCACTCTGTATTCTCGCCCCGCCAACGCCAGGAGTAGGGTACCAAGTCTTTCCGGAGGTTGCAGCCCTAAGAGCACCTTCCTTCCGAGGAATAAAACGAATCGCTTTCCAAAGGACAGCCCAGCCTACCTCGGATAGCCCTTTCTGGGGCCCGACCTAGTGTTTTACTCCAACTCCTGCCAACAGAATGCCAGCAAACTCGGGTAAGAATGGGCCTGAGCGTCCAAACTGTATCACCCGAATCCTCCAGAGCTGCTAGAAGGAAAGGGCCGTTCCGCACCGTGCCGAGCCCTTTGTCTTCTCCTGGGACTGGCGACCCAGAACTCGGGGAGCGGGAACCCCAGTCCACCCGACCCACGGCCCCAATCTCTGGATGCGGAGGGTGGCGGCTCCTTCTCCGGCTCATCTCAAGCTTTCCCCAATTAGGATTTGCTGCCTGACGTCACGTCTGCCTCAGATTGGCTGTTGAGATCTGACACAGGGCTCCGCCGGGGAGAAGAAACTTTTAAAAGACTTTGCAGCCGGGGCTGCCTCCGAGCGGTCCAGCGCTCACGGCCGTCCTCGCCCACCCTCGCGGGTCGGTGCCCGTGGCACCCCGGCTGCACCCCGTGACACCCCGGCTGAGCCAGGGGACCCTCACCTTGCGCAGCCCGCGCCCCTCCCCTCCTCCCCACCCCAAACTCCCGCCCCCCCGCTCGCCACCGCTCCCGGCTGGGGTCCGCTGCCGCTCAGCCGCCGGCAAAAGCTCCCTCCCTCCCGGCCACCCAGTCGGCCTCCACCCGGCCGCGCCCGAGCTCTTCGCGGAGTCCTTGGGGATACGGAGGGAGCGCGCCGGGGCAGGGCGAGCGGCGCTGCCGGAGACTGCCCGCGATGGCAGGAGCCTGGCTCAGGTGGGGACTCCTGCTCTGGGCAGGGCTGCTGGCGTGGTCTGCGCACGGCCGGGTGCGGAGGATCACGTACGTGGTGCGCCCGGGCGCCGGGCTGGCGGCGGGAGCCTTGCCTCTGGCTGGGCACCCCCGGACCTTCAACGTCGCGCTGGACGCCAGGTACAGCCGCAGCTCGTCCGCCGCCTCCGGCCGCGCCTCGGCCGGGCCCCCAGCCGAGCGGACCCGTCGCACCAGCCAGCCTGGCGGCGCGGCCCTGCCCGGGCTCCGATCGCCGCTGCCACCCGAGCCCGGGCGTCCCGGCGCGCCCGGCCGGCAGCTGCACTCTAAGGCCGGCGCTCAGCCCGCGGTCGCCCGCTTCGCCAAACATGGCAGGCAAGCCGTGCGCTCCAAAGTGCAGCAGGACACCCAGAGCGCCGGGGGCTCCAGGCTGCAGGTTCAGCAGAAGCAGCAGCTGCAGGGGTAAGCCCACGCTCCGCCCGCCTCGCGCGCGGGGACACGCCGGGGCTGGGGACCGTCTCCTCCCCGCCGGGGGCGCTGCGGGAAGGGGTGAGCGCGGGGGAAGCCCGCTCTTTTTTTTTTTTCCCCCCTGGCTTTTAACTCTTAGAGCATTGTTACCGAGCTGCGGGGAAACACAAAAGGCATTTCTTTCTTCCCCGGGGCGTAACCTCCTGTGCGCAAACCCTTCTGCTCCTAGACTATGGGCGTAAACATGAAGTCACTACAGCTTAATCCCAAGGCATCAATTAAACTTCTTGCAGCTCGGTTTTTATTTTTTTATTTTGGTTTACCTAATGAAAAAGAGATTGTGGGTGAAAGGAGGCTGTAGAGACTCAGCTCTCCTTCGGGCATCCTGGCAATTGTAGGCTTGGGTTTCTGGCACCTGTGGGGTTGGCCGTCCGAACGTGGGCGGGGGTGGGGGTGCGATCCAGCATGGACAGCAGTAGGGGTTGGAGAGTTTGTGACTCGGGCTGGTAAGTATCCCCACTATACTGCTTTCCTCCGCTCCTCACAAGGTGGGGTGGGGAGGTCACTTAATTTGAACCTTTGGCCTTTCTCCCCACTTAGGGATGGGTCCTCCGGGTGATCTCACTCTTTGGGGGGTACTTCTCTCTGAAGCAAAGCGGGCCCAGAAAATATGCAGAATATATTTGACTCTGCTTTAATTTGGGGTTAAGACAACCGTTAGGTTGGATTTTAATACTCCGCCCTTGTTAATCAGGCCTCTAGGTTCCTCCATCCTTCCCAGGTGAATGGTCCCTTACCCTTCTTCCACTCGAGCAGCTTTGGGTTGCGCTGCCTGGGTACGCTTAGAGCTCTCTCTAATCCAGAGGAATGTGGAAGCAAGAGATTGGCTTTTCAGGAACACTCTGAAGCTTTGAGTGCTTGGGAGGGGAGCGTCACGGCGCTGGACTGAGGGGTCTCGCTTCGTTTCAGGATCAATGTCTGTGGAGGGCGGTGCTGCCACGGTTGGAGTAAGGCTCCTGGTTCCCAGAGGTGCACCAAACGTAAGTTACTGTGCTTACCGCAGCCTTGCACCATGGACCAGGTGGGGCTGTGTGTGTGCGCGCGTGTGTACGGGGTGGGGTGGGGGTCAGGGTGGGGTCGGTAAGTTCTGCAGAGGCCTCGGGAAGAGGCAGGCCGTGCCCCCGGGAGTTCTGAAATCTGAAATACAGTACAAATATATGCACCTGTATAACCATCAAGGAGGGACTGGGTTATGCCCGTCCACCAGCCTTGAGTTATCCAAGATGCCTTGCGCTCCACCCAGCTGTTTATCACTGTCTCACTCGAATCACGTGCTAGGAAAAAAAGAAAATTCCCATTTGAGGGTAGGCCGTGTGCCAGAACGGATACTATTAATTTAAACATGGCTCGACAAAGAAAGAGCATTCTTTAAGGTGATGGCAGAAGAGGAATGGAAAGTAGGGATCCTTTCCTGGAATAAGGCAGGAAATGTTCCTTACGGGGGGCTGACCTTGGGGGATGGCCATGTGCTGAGCAAGTTCTCTACCGATGAGCTAGTCACACATGTACACCACACAAACGGTCCCCTACCCCTTTTCTGGAATCCTAAGAACCAGGCCCAATGTTAAAAGGGTAAAAAGCTTTCTGAAAAGAGCCACGCGTATCCTCCATCCTTGGGGTCCAGGTTATTTATCAAAATCTTCCTGTGCTTGGGGTTTCCCCAGTTAATATGCATCCTAACAGTATATTAAAAATATTCATAATACGTACAGTTACGAGATATACATAGTATGAAGATTACATTCCTTATAAACATTGTAAAGTTAAAGATAACTGTTTATTGAGGCCACCTTGACGTGTTAGCTGGGACTAGAAACCATTACCTGCACTCCAAAAGAAGTAAACATTAAAATTTTTATTATTTTAAAGGTATTTTATATGTATAGGTGTTTTGCCTGCATGAAGGCCTGTGCATTGCGTACGTGTGTGTAGTCCATGTACAGGCCAGAAGAGGATGTCAGAGCCCCAGAACTAGGGCTGTGTATGGTGGTGAGCCACGGTGTTGGTGCTGGGACTTGAATACAGGTCCTCTGCAGAGGCACCCTGTGCTGCTAACCACTGAGCCACGTCCAGCCCCCAGAGTAAGCAGTCTGAGACGTTCTTTTTGTAGAGCTTGACCTACTATCCTGTGAACTGGAGTTGTCCGAAATTTCAGGTGCTTATTGACATCTACTGTATAAGTAAAACCCAGCAATCTGCCTTGTGTATCGTTGGGGTTTTAGAACACTGATGGGAAAATAAAGATAGGATGCAATCATTCTGATGACCTTGTTTGTTGAAAAATGCCTTTAGCCCATGAGGAAAACAGAGGGGTTTTAAGTGGATGAAAAGGTCCCACCTCTGTGTTTTGATTTGGCCTAGGATCAGGGAGTAATGTTTGGCTTAAGGACCTTCTGAAGGCCAAATTCTGGCAGCTAGATCAGAAATGCACTGGTTTGTAGGCATTGTAAGTTAACACATTATTATTATTTTGAGACAGGGTTTCTGTGGGTAGCCCTGGCTGTCCTGGAACTCACTGTGTAGACCAGGCTGACCTCAAATGCACAGAGATCTGCCTGCCTCTTCTTCTTGAGTGCTACCACCACTTGGCTCTATTTTTCTGTTCTTCTTAGATTAAACTGACAGGACTGACTGAAATGTGGCAATGGCATTACCCTGGGTTAGGATCGCTTCTCCCAGTAACTGCCTCTGCCTCACAGCTGCTGTGCCACGTTTGGCCTGTAACGTGGCGGGTATCCCTCTGAGACAGCACTGGGGCAGTGAGGTATTGCTGTGTGAAGGTTGGACGCACAGGGCAGGGTTTGGGGAGATTGCTTACTTGTTGAAATGTTTGCCATGCAAACTTAAGGGCCGGAGGTTAATCCCTAGAACCCACCTAAAAAAGCTGGGAGGCGGAGACAAGTGCACCCCCAGGGCTCACTGGCCACTCAGCCTGGCCTAATTGGTGAGTTCTAGGCCAGTGAGAAACCAACCCTGTCTCAAAAAACAAGGTGGAGGGCTTCTGAGGAATGACATTCAAGGCTGATCTGTGCTCTCTACATGCACATACATGTACATGCACTCTGGCACCCATGTTCACTCAAACACTCACTCACCCACCCTACACTCATGCAAACCAACAGACCCTGCTGCTTCGTGCTCTGAGGTTTTATAAAGATTTCTTGGCAGGTGGCAGAGTGCCTTTTCTGAAAAGTAGGCAGCCCACAAGATTGCCCTTTTCTGATGGTTCAGGCTTTTTCCAAGAAGCCCTAGAAAGAGACTCATGTGGATAGTGAGCATTGACATCGTGGCTTCCTGCTTCTCCAGGCCAGGGAGACAAGGACATGTGTCTGCCTGTGTGTGGCTGGCTTTGCCCCTGCAGGTCCAGAAAGAGAGGTCACTGGCCACTTGTTGGTTGGGAGAGTTAGGGCTTCGTAGCTGGTGGTTGGAGCCGGGGGGCGGGGGGAGTGGCTGTACTGTGTTCATCTCATGATACCCATGACATCTGGTTCTGGGTTAGGGTATAAAGCTGTACATGACACTGGGATCTAGGCAGTTCAGCACCACTTTCCTTTTTGGTGCTTTTCTGCCCGGTGCTAGAAACTGAAATCACAACACCTTCCAGGAAAAACCATGCTGCTGAAATAGAACCTCGGCAGCTGAGCACAGCAGTGAAAGCATGCATTTATGAGATGCACTTTAATTTTACAGTGTGTGTGTGTGTGTGTGTGTGTGTGTGTGTATGTCAGAGGGAGAGAGAGAGAGATCAAAGTTCATGGAGTTCAGGAGAGGGTGTTATATCCCCTTGGGTTACAGGGTAGTTAGTTGTCAGTGGGCAGTGTGGGCAAACCCAGGTCATCTGGAAGAAGAGCAAGTGCTCTTAATAAAATGAGGGTCATCTCTTTAGTCCAGGATGGGTGTTTTTAACATGAGTCTTATTTCAGGCATGTCCTGAAAGATAAAGGAACCATTGTCTTTAGACATTACTGGAGTTAACATTGATACCATCCATTTAATCCATAGAAGAACTGTGTTCAAATGCTGGACCCTTCTCTAGCTGTGTGGCTTTGAGGAATTCACCTGGTCTCTTTGATTCTACATTTTCTTCTACAGAAATGACTAATCTAAAACCGGGCTCCCCATGTTGGATTGTTGAAGGTGTCAAGGTAAAAAAAGAATGGGTTTGCAAGCCATGCTGAAATCAGAGACTCTTAGGGTTTTAGAATTGGATCAAGTCAAGTAAACTTTCATTTATATATTACATGACTTTCTTCTTTCCCAGGTATGCATTCCTACTGCCTTTATTTTTTAAAGTAATGTGGATGCCCCTCCCTCCCCCACTATAGTGTGTATCCATTACCTGAAATGCTTTGGGCCACACAAGTGTTTGGAACTTTGATTTTATTTGAATATGTGTTTACATATAATGAGATATGTTAAATATGGGATCCAAGTTCAAACATGAAGCTCATTTGTATATATGCCTTATAGATAACAGGAAGGTAATTTTACGCAGTGTTTTAGTGTGCTTGTGTTTTGACTGAGTGGTTTTCAGGAAGCCAGATATGGAATATTCCACTTGTGGTGTCCTGTTGGTACTCAGAACATTTTGGATTTGGGATTTTTGGACTTTCGGGTTAGAAGCGCCTAAATTCATTTCCTTAAAGTCATTGGGTTGTTTTACACCTTTGGATGATTTACTTTGCAAAGATATTAAAGAAGACTGAGTATGGGGCACGGAGAGAGAACGCAGTCAGTCAAGTGCTTGCTATGCAAGCATGAGGAACTAGGTTCAGATCTTCAGCACTTGTGTAAAAGCTGGCTGTGGCACTAGGAGCCTGCACCCAGCTCTAGGGAGGTGGAGACAGAAAATATTTGGCGTTTGTTGGCTAACCTGTCTAGACAAATTGGTCAGCTCCAGGTTCAGGAAAGACACCATCTCAAACACACACACACACACACACACACACACACACACACACACAGTAGAAAGCAATTGAGGAAGACATCCGTTGCCTACTTCTGGCTTCTACATACTCTCACACAAACATGTGCAAGACTGCATTCACCCGAGCATCCACACACATGAACTTTTACACACACACACACACACACACACACACACACACACACACACGGGACACTAAATACATGTCTCTAGTTCTCTGTGTGTTAAAGCTTGTTGCCTGGGGGATGAGAGCTTATTTGTAGAATGGACAGGAATTGATGTAAAGCGTCCCTTCACCAATTTTCATCAGTGTAACTGCGTCAGTAAATAGCAGTGATATTCAGATGGCAAAGCAAACTGATGTGTGATTCTCTTTCTCTCTTTCATCCTTAAGATGCCAAGAGTGGCCAATTCTACTTGAATGTGATCCATTATAGAATACAAAACAGCAGCATGTCAATGTCACAAAGCGTATGGACAGATCGCAATGTATAACCCATGGTATTTAGTAGTTATCGTGTTTTAGGGATAATTTAAAGGGTTTACATAGGTTATGTCAGCTGAGCCAAAAGAATCTCTGCACAAGAGATCGGCTATGTTTGTGGTCTTGTGATTGTTTGATTAATGCGGCGAGGAAAATAATGCATTCTTCTGGGCCAGCTTAAATTGCTTTGAGTTGATTGAAACTTAATTTAAATGTACCACGGGCAAATGCTTCTGAAGACGGAAGATTTAGTGAACCTTAAATTGCAAACCAGAGATGAGAAGCACGCAGGCAACAGACCCACACGGGGCAAAGAATGCCTCTGTGCAGGCATCATGGTGGTCCTGGGGCCTCAGACACCCGGTCCCTGTGTGGATATGCCAAACTACACATTAATTCTGCCTTTCCAGACATTCTCATCCTCATTCTCTCTCTCTCTCTCTGTGGGGGGTGTGTGTGTCTGGGAGCTGTAATCGTAGCATGGGCCATGTCTTTCTACCTTTTAATACTGGGGACTGTTGATAGTGGTCAGGAGAGGGTGTCCCGTATGTTCTTTCCAGTGAAAGAAA